TGAGCTGTTAAGTTCAAGTACTCCCTTCCTTTGAATTGGATGTCTATCATGTTGGGCCTATTGGTCTGTAAAGGCTAGTGCATCAATAATTCTGGTGGCATGATCAATTTCTACATCCAACATAGATCCTCCCGCTACGACCTCTAATAACATCTTTGCATCATGTCGCAAGCCGAGTGTAGAAAATATTCAACTGAGAAACGTCATCAAATCCATGATTTGGGCAACTTCTCAACAAGTGATTTAAATTTCTCCCATGCTTCACAAAATTGCTCATCTCGCTCCTTGTCCGAAAGAAGTGATGTCGATTTTGCTTTGATGTAGCGGGATGGTGGGAAAAATCGTTCGTAAACTTCTCTTCTACACTACTCCAATTAGTCAAACTCTGATTAGGATGTGCTTTCAGCCATTCTTTTGCCCTACCTGCCAAAGAAAAAGGAAATAATATCAAATATGCGTATTCAAGATTTGTCGCTCTAAATCCCATGGTACCAATCAACTCATAAAAAGTAGACAAATGAGTATAAGGGTCTTCATGATCCAATCCAGTGAATTGATGAGCACTAATCAAGCTTAAGAAAGTTGGATTCATCTGCAATGTATGATCATCCGGAATGACAATGCTGAAAAAATATCTTGGACCTTGCTGCATAGCACAATTTCTAAGAGTTCTTCTAGGTGGATTTGCATTTGGGTTTTTATTTGGATTTATATTGGGATCTGGATTCGAATTCAGATTTGCTCCTTCTTCCGCCATATCTTCTATAATTGGGTCTGGTAAATCAAGTGTGAAAGAAGAATTAGCAGATTCTTTTGTAGTTTGTTCTTGAGTTTCCCTTTTTCTGAAGATACCTATCCTCTTAAACGCATAAATCAAAAGAGTAACTCAAGTAAATATTAACACAAACTAAAAACTAAATAATAATAATGATAATAATAATAATAATAATAATGATAATAATAATGAAAATAATAATGATAATGATAATAATAATGATAATAATGATAATAATAATAATAATAATAATAATAATAATAATAATAATGATAATAATGATAATGATAATAATGATAATAATAATGATAATGATAATAATGATAATGATAATAATAATAATGATAATGATAATAATGATAATGATAATAATAATAATGATAATAATAATGATAATGATAATAATAATAATAATAATAATGATAATGATAATAATGATAATAATGATAATAAAAATAAAATACTCAATAAGCTAAACAAAGAATTCTCAAAGAACACCGTTCCCCGGCAACGGCGCCAGAAATACTTGTTGAATTATTGGCAAACATACCAAAATTATCAATCGCAGTATAGTATTTCGATAAAATAAAAGTCGATCCCACGAGGAACAGTTTCAATGAAAATTCCCAATTATGCTTACTAAGTATATTAAACAGATTGGGTTTTGCAAATAAGAGTTGAGTTGAATTTAAATGACAAAGAACTGTAAATTGTTGAGAAAATATCAATTAAAGGTACTTAGGATTGACTTCCTTCCTTATCCCTTTTTTGTAATGGCTAAATCAATTAAGAACGTCAATTAACCTAACAATGTTGATGCCACCTACTCAAATCATCCATGTTGATTCCTCACACATGAAATTCATAAGAAAACCTAATAAATGTTTATTCCTCACACAATTAAGAGATTTTCCAGCATTAGGGTTAGGGTGTTTAAGCACTTGATACATTCATTCCATTCCTGGCAATTAATGTAACAAATATTCTTACCGTGATCTAGAGTTCAAGATATATTTTCCAATCATACCTCAAACAATCAAGAATAAATCATTCCAAAGCATAAATGATAAGAATAACAACATCAAAGCATAGATTAATATATCAAAATATCACCATGATACAAAAGAGTTCAAAGGAAGTGCACCGAATCCTAAGAGAATGAAGTTAGCCACTCATGTTGGCCATTACAATGCTCCAATTGATGAAGAAGTGAGGAATTGATGAAGATTGAACAAAACCCTAACAGTAGTCGTGCCTCCTCTCCTTCAAGACTACTTTCTTTTCTCAAAACACAACTTATCTTTTTATAAGAGAATTTGGGCCGGGCCTCGCATCATTTAGTGGCTTAAGCGCTCTTCTTTCTTTCAATTATACTCCAATTATGCTGACAATTATGCTCCTTACTCTTGTATCAAGGTATTCTCGAATTCATCCTATATTGGGAGAAAAATATATTAGAATTAACATAAGTTAAGTGGTTTTATAACAATTCAAGGCATAATTATATCAACTTTTTACCACTTAACAGTTAGCACTAAAGGGAGTTGTGCTGCTATTACTGCTGATCCTTCAGGAGAATATACTCAGACTGATGCACCACACCAGTGTGAGTTATATGTTGAAGATGACCCCCCGCGTCTAGTGGGTATTGGTCGAGTTTTTGAGGGTGGCTTAACCATCCATGGTGTCCCTCTACAGGAAGACTGGACACGAGTAGTAGTTGATGAAGTTCATGATGTTAATGTTTCAATGCCTTTTCCTAATGAAGAGATTCAATTAGTGGGGCAGGCAAGCGGGACATTCTTGGCTTGGCCAAGACGTTTGGTTATGCCACTATCAGTACGGACCAAGGTAATATATATATATATATATATATATATATATTGTTTATTTTCTCTTTTCTAGTATTATAATTATATAAATGTTTAATTAATTGTTATAATTTGTTTAGGAGGACTTGCGTCGTGCTAAACATAAAAACAACCTATTATTGATGAGGAGATGACAGAATGTGACGATGATCCCATATCTATGTTGTTGACCATATTACCACGGTTGAGGAAGAGATCGTGTCATATACAATGGGAGGTTAGAGTGTTTGGAATTGACAATTCTAGTGTTCCACTATACATTTCCTTGCCCAATGCATTAGAAATTGTCGGGGAAATTGTATGTTAAACATTTCCATCATACAATTGTGGGCAATGTAAGTCATTTTCATTTATGTTTCTAAGATTATAATAATTATATTCAACTTATAATTAATTGTTTTAGGTACATTGACAAATTGAGTGTGGAACAAGAAAAATATGAAGTATACGGATTTATTGAGCCTCAATCCATCCAAAAATCTGGAAATACAAAGGTTGGAATCCAACAATATATGCAAACATGGATGAGTGACTCAAAAAGACATATATATTTGGCTCCATACATTGAAGGGTTAGTATTTTAATTTATATTTTTATAACTAATTTTTATGTCATATAATGTAGGTCCCATTGGCGTTAATTGTAATCATGCCCCGGGATTACACTCGTGGTGTGATTTTGTTCATTACATCGGAAACCGAGTCAAGAAATGAAAAGCTTATTACAAGGGTAACTTTATCTTTTATTCATTAATTATGTTTTTAAATTGTAAATACATATTGAATAATATATGACTTTTTTTCACTTAGAATCGTGTCTCGGAACTAATGTTCTAAGTGGAAAACCTAGAACAAAGACTTTGCAGTTCATTTATCCTAAGGTTAGAAACTTATTTATATAAGTGAATACCATAATTATTGTTTGTATTTAAATTTTGAAAATAACATTATGTTTTATTCATCATTTCAGTGTAATAAGCAAACAGACTCATTTGAATGTGGTTACTATGTTATATATTGGATGAGAGTCATAGTTTGTGTGGGTATAATTTATTATTGGACGGAGGTAATTGCTTTCAACATTAGTTAAGTTTATTTAACTTTATGCATGTTGCATGTTTACAAGAGTCAAATTAATGTTTCAGGTATTTCAAGATCCATCTCCATTGTCAGAATATGATATTACACAAATTAGAGAATAATGGGCAAGGTTTTTCGTTCAACAATTCTAGTACTTAATTTTTTAGGTTATTGGTCATATTATATTGTGTGTATTATGTAGTTTAGGTAGCTTAGTTTGTACTAACTTTTAGTTTGTAATAGATTTTAGTATGTATGTTTGTATTATATTGTTTTATTATGTAGTTTGAATTATATATAATATTATATTTTTAATTTACTAGCTAAAGAAACTTGAACATCTGGACTATCTGGTTGTAATATATATTTGCAGGTTTTAGTTGTAAGACAAAATAAACCAAATTTTTTTTAAAAAATGAGCAAATTTACGTCGCATATTGGTATACGCGACGTAAATTTACATCACGTATACCAATACGTGACGTAAATTTTTTTTCGAAACTTTTGACGTCTGTTTAGTAGTATATGCAACGTAAATTCACGTCGGGTCTCGATAATGGACGTAAATTTACGTCGGGCTGAGGGGTCTGACGTAAATGTACGTCTCCCATTTTAACGTCGATCTTAAATACGACGTAAAAAACCCAAAATACCTAACGTAAAAATCCCTTTTTGTACTAGTGCCTTAGCATTGTAATGACAATTATAATAATAATTAAGCAATAAAATATATTTAAATATAACTCATTCTCTTACCATTGTAATGACAATTATAATAGTTCAAACAATGAAATATATTTAAATATAATTCATTTGTGTTGAATCTTTTAAAGGGATTTATTAGAGAGAAATTACACCAATGAGACATAAACACAATTCATATATAAGATTAATTTTTCTCTTAATCTAAAACCTTATGACATTATATTATAGATTTTTCTTTCTTATATATTATTGAACTTTTTTTATTCTAAGTGATAATTAAATTTCCAGTTAGATCTTCTAATTAGAATAAATTATACAGAAATAGTTTTAACTCATGTCTTCCTTATTAGTCAAACAATTTTCTATGGAAGCTGGTAGAAATTATAACATGAACTGTACATTAAGCTAAACAAGTCACAAATTTATAACAAACTTCTTAATTTATTATGGACTGGTATTTGCCTCTGCAGTGAAGAGAGATAAAGTTAACAAACCATACTTCATTCCAATCCAAAACCATTATTAAGAAAATATCTAAGTATACAAACTACAATATCAAGGGCTTTCTATTTACAAATTAGGCACCTTAATAAATCCCACTTGTTTGGAATTTGCCACTTTAGTAAGGGTTTGCAAATCATAAGCTATCCAACACCTAGAGTTCTCCCTGTGGTAAAAATAGCCAACACACTTGCAATCCTTGGTGCATTTGTTTCCACAAGTACTCTCACTCACTTTATCCCCCTCACTGTATTTGCTCATGTAATGTCTAACTCCTTCAACTTTGTAGTAGTGGAAATCACTTGCTTTGCAAGATGTCACAGGCTTGGCAGTGCAATTGCTGCTCCATCCAAATAGCCCATTTTCCAATGGACAAGCCACACATTGCTCATTCTGACATAGCCCAAGATTCCCACATTTCTCAGGCCATTGACACTCACTCTCATCATAAGAATCTCTGTCAAAGAGAGTGTAGGTCACTTGCCATGCCCCAGAACGCACACCAAGGAAGTAAGTGTGCAGCCTAATGTTGCCATCAATTCCAAGCCTAAGGTATGTCAAGGTACTGTTGTTCACTGGCATTCCCATCACCCCAACGGGAATGTTGTTTAATGGTTGTGCCATGGTTCTGTATTCACTGGCGGAAGAGCCAGCCATATAGGAAAGAAATTCGATTTCAAAAGTGTCTGGATCAGATATGAGAGTGATATTCTCCACTGAACCTTGTCGAGTGAAGAGCCTATACCAATAAAGAATTGGTTTAGGAGAATTCTTGCTCTTGTAGTACAAGGCCAACCTTTTAGGCTCCAAAACCAAACTATAAGGACCATCTACATTATCCCTCTCTGAAAGCCTACTAACCAACTTGGATGGCCCTTTTGGTCTAAGATACTGATCAATCAAAAGGGTATCTGTGGGGTGGTCAAAACTCTGCCAAACGAACTTTCCTTGTGCATCAAGGAGGACCATGTTACCATTTGAAAGCAACTTCAAGGCCACAACACCCTTGTTGGCAGTGTTGGTTTGCCAAGCGATTCTACCATCAGCTTCAGCCAACACAAGGTTGCCATCAGTTCCAAGAGAAAAAGTGGCATTCTCTCCAACTGGGTTGCCTCTATTGGCCTCCCACACCCAACGAAAAAGTTGCTCCGAACGTCGAAGTCCCATGCGCAAAGCTAGAGTGAAGGCATTTGGGGTGGTGTTATAGAATGCAAGTTGGAACGGAGAGCTGAAAAGGTTTTGCATCCGGTAACTAGCATCATACTCGGTAATGTAGGGTCCAAATTCACCCGAGTTCTCGAATTTGAAGGTCTCATTTTGAGGAACAATAGCGTGAGCAATGATGGTGAAGTACAAGAAGAAGAAGATAAGAATGTAAGCTTTGGATTGAGGCAGAGAAGCCATTGTTGATGGATATGTTTTGTGGTGCATATGTAGCCTCTGCTATTTATTTAAAACTTTAGAAGTTATAGAATGAATTGTAGCCATCATTGCACAGTTATCAACTCAAAATACAAGGAAACGTTGTATGGTCCACTTTATGTTATTTAATATCTAACAAGAAAGAGAGAGGAAAGAGACTAGAGCTACAAATTAATGTATTTTTTAAAATTATTTTTATCAGTTTTTAATACTTTATTAAAATATCCAATGCAACAAATATTATCGTTGGTTATATATTTAAAACTTAAATAGAGATTGAAAATATAAATGAAGTTAAAATAAAATACATTCAAATTTAAATTAAGTTTATTTCCGTTCTCTTCTAATTTTGAAACTGATCTTTTTAATTTTATTTTTATGCATTAAAACTAGTTCGTTTTATATTTTAAATATTTTTACAGAATACTTTTGGTACATTTACTTCTTCTTTTTTCACTTTATAAAAATATTATACCGAATTCTTACCTCTTCTTTTATGCTTTAAAATATAAATATAGAAACTAGTTATATAATTTCACGAAACTTCAATCATAATAAAGATGTAATTTACATTAAAAAAATCGAAACTAAATCAGTTTTTTCAATCTAACTCATTCACTTAAAAGATCTATTTTGAAATTGATTAAAATTCTCAATCTTCAAATCCACGTATTTATTGAAAGTTGATATGACAAAAGCATCAATCATTTTCAAAATAGATTATTTTTTCTTTTCTTTTTCTTTATTTTTTATTTTTTATTTTTTGTAAAAGAATAACTAAATCTTAAAAATATAAAATCGATATCAATCGAATCGAATTTAGTTTTGAATAGATTATTTACGACTATTTAAGAAATACATCTTATCCATATAGATTATCTTTTCCCTCTTTCATTTTATTTTTATTTATTATTTTTTTTCTTTATTTTTGTTAGTTATATATAAAACTAAATTTTGATATTAATTCGCAAAATCTATATTAATAGTGTCACTTCTCGAGTTTGTTTTTGTCTAATCTTAATTTTGTTATTTATTATCATAATTTATATTTATAAGTTTAGAATTAAATTAGACATTAATTAATTCTTGATTTACTAATTTAAATACAAATTAAATTGAATTATATTTAATTCAATTCGTATAATTGATTTTATTAATTAATTAAATCAATTAATTTGATCAATTTATATATAAATTTGTAGAAAATACGATAAAATAATGATTTGATTTTAAAATTTTTGGATTGATATATGATCTTATTTTTTTATTTAAAATTTTTTAAAATCTTAAATAGAATTTGTAAAAATAAAAAATAAAAATTAAATTCAATGATATTCATGAAAAATTCAACCTTGATTTATACTCCATATCTGATTTGACCGTGAAGATCACTGTCCAGTTCAATAATTGGTGAGGGATAAAAATGGCAAGAAATATACAACTACATCACCAATTTAATTGAAAGTTCATGTGTTAAATAAATGGAATTAAAAATGCAAAACGTGAGCCAACAACAATAGCTGTGACATTTATGGTGGCATCTTCCTTCAGTACCAGAGACTGCAAATAGTAATAACACATGCAGTAACAATAGCTGTCTTCTTATCCATTATCCTTATCCACATTCAATGCTAGCTGTCTCTCTAGCTGCCATTTCTGACCTAGTAATTTATACTCCTAAAAGATTTTTTTATTTTTTTCTTTCCCCTTTTAGAAAATCATTTTTAAAAAATAATTATATTTTTTATAATATAGTTACATATTTACCATTCTAGTATCTCCATTCACATGTTTCTTTTTAGAAGAAAAATGAATAATTTGAAGTCATATTTTACCTATTTTTAAGTTCAGTCAGATTTATTTAAAGCAAAACCTTAAAAGATTAATGAACACTATTCATTAATTCAAAGAGAATTTCATTCACGAAATTTGTAGGTAATTGTTTTTAATGGTTTTGTATCAAAATATTTTAAACATCATCTCCACCGTTAACTTCATTTTGTATCTATATCTGGTATAGACGTTTTCGGTGATGCATACCAAAAATACATTTATTTTAATCAAATTAATTAAAATGAATAACATTACTCAATATTATTAAAATAATATTTTAAAACACACGATGTTGAAAGTCCACATCGCCTACCTCATGTTATTTGATATGGTTTAAATACATGTTAGGTTACTTGAGCGATGTCGATCTTCGGTCAAATAATTAAAACGAGATAAATGTAGTATTATGAAGCTTTCCTAGGCCGTCTCCCAAAGATCACAAATTTCTAGCAAAGCTTATCAATTTTTTAGTAACAAAAAATTAAAAGGGGAGTTTTTCAAAATTAAAATATTAGATGAAATAGAACAAAAACATATTATAAAAATGCGGATTAAAAACAGATTAAAATACAATTGATTTCCTGATTCTAATGCAATGTCACTTATCCTAGATTACGAAATTAATTCGAAATTAACCAACTAAGCGAAGATAAATTCCAAATTATATTCTGTTAGAATCGCGCAGCGGAATATTCGCGTGGTCGGACAAAAACCAAGAGGGGGGGGTGAATTGGTTTCTTAATAAAAATTAGGTTTTCAAAATTTTCCCCAAATTTTACCGATTAAAAACTGCGTAAATGTAAATAGAGAAGAGTAGAGAAGATTACACAGTGAGGTTTATACTTGGTTCGGATCAAAAGACCCTACGTCCAGTTGCTAATCACTCAAAAGAGGATTAACGCCGTCACTAAGAACAAATTGTTATAAACAGATTACAAATCAAAGAGATAAAGTAAAGACAACACCTCTCTTGAAATCCACAAGAGATGAAGAACAGCTTTTCCTAGAGACGGCACAAGACACAATCCACTAAGAACTCCACTTAGTGATTCTTATCGCTTCTAGCCTCACACCAGGTTTCCAAAAGCCCCCTTTCCTTGCAACAAACAGCTTCTCGGCACTCACAGACACTTAACTTTTGTATGGAAAGAGTTGTTCTCATTTTTCCGAGTGCCAAAGCAGAGTTTAAGTAGGGAAATTAGGGTTAAGGAATTGGGGATTTCGAAACTAGGGTTCTTGGTAATTGGGTTTTCGAAAATAGGGTTAATTTGAAATTTAAAAACAAAAATAGACTGAAATAATCGATTAAATGGAGTTTTAATCGATTAAAACAGAGCCAAATATGTAGAACCCAATCCTCTCTGGTTTAATCGATTATTTGGTGAAATAATCGATTATTTGACCTTTTAATCGATTATTTTGATGTTTTAATCGATTAAAACAGTGAGTATATGCTTGAAAATGGTTTTCTCATCTGTTTTAATCGATTATTTCCCTATATAATCGATTAAAGCCGAGCCTGCATGATAAATTTGAGCATTTTGAAGCTTCTAAGTTACAGACTATGTACCGGCTATCTTAGACTCTATAATTACAGACTCAATCAAACTAAAACAGAGTTATTACAATACAGAAATCATCAATCTTCAATCTTCAATACTCTAAGTCTTTAAGCTCTTGGATCATCATCAAAATCAACATTCTTCATGATCATTATTTGCAACATCAAGTCCTTGAATGTTCAACATATTCTAATTCAAAATTAATCAACTAAGCGAAGATTAATCTCAAATTAGCTTTAACCTTTGTTCCAATATGAAATTAACCAACTAAGCGAAGATTAATCCCAAATTTTCCTTAACCCTTATTCCAACATGAAATTAACCAACTAAGCAAAGATTAACCCCAAATTATCCTTATACAATTAAGCATTGCATACATCACATAATCTCATCTCTAACACAGAATTAAGCAAACTGTGATATTAGTTTCGGTTTATTAAGCATAAACTGATTATAATTCAACACTGAGATTAGAAGATGAAGAGTTAAGAGAACAAACAAAATGAAATTGAAGAACAAAACCTCAAAGATCTACTTGCATTCTTCTCAGAAAATCAATACAAAGATTTAGCTATCCATGGAAAGTTGAAAACGCAATAGAAGAAACATAATTAAAATCGAAACAAGAATTTAAAAATAATGACAGAAGAGTAAACAAACTTGAATATAAATTGCAGAAGATGAAAGGCGGTTGTGTGGTGGCTGCGAAGTCCTTGTGTGTTGTGTGTCTTCTGATGTGTGATGTGTCTCTCTTATATAAATAACCTTAACCCTAATCTTTATTGAGGTTTGGGCTCAACTGGTCCATGAAACACATCATAAGTAGGCTTTAGTGCAGGTCCGTGAACTTCAAACACATGCAGTATTTTCAATACTTATCCAAATTAATCCTTTGAAAGCCTTTTGAGTTAGCTTTAAAACGCCATCATTGGTACTATTTTTGGAGGTCTAATGAATTTAGGAGACTTAAATTACTGAAGCATGTCCATTGGGCCGGCCTGGTGCGCTTGACCCGTGTTGGATAATTTATGTAAAATCCAACTTATCTCCGAATTGAATGATTTTAGATCCAATGGAAAGCTGAAGGTGTCTAGTTTATAATGTTTTGAAAATAATGATTTTTGGAGATATGTAGAAAAAATGATAAATAAAATAGTAAACCAATGTTAGTACCCGTATAGAATAAAATATGATATTTGACCCAATTTTTCAAGCCCAAAATTGCTTTAAACTGTAAAATGGCATCTAGCCCAATCTTCTAGGCCCAAAATTGCTTTAACTGTCCTAAAATTAATAATGAGAAAAAATTAGATCAAATAGATTTAAATTAATTAAAATCTAATTATTGGCCCAATGAAGCCATATTAATAAAAGTTCACTAATAATAGAAAGTTAAGCCCAAAACACTAATTAAAATAAGTTCAGAAAGGGAAGAAAATACGGGAATATAATGACTCATCACTACTCCATATATTGCCAATTGGTTTTATGTTGGAACCTTAACATGATATCTAGAGCTTAAGGTTATCTTGAATTTTTTTTTTCTGCCTTTTGTCCACTGTTGGAGCCGCCCCACCGCTGCTAGAG